GCCATGCTTTCGTGTCGTATGAAATAAGATCCTTTTCAAACCCACATATTGCAGAAGGAGTTTTGCACAAGTGCAATGTCCATGAATTTCACGGGGGGAAAGTATTAATTTCAACACAATAAAACAAAGTTTTTTAACGTGAGCCCAGCCCTACATTAAAAAAAACAACACTGCAACAAAAGCATTAAATTACAGTTCTATTTCTATTACTTTTGAATTTTAAATAGGTTTGAATCTATTCCAAATCTTGAAATACAATATATCATATCGAAAGTTTTAAAAGAAATTTTGATGAATTGGGAATAATGAAGCATTTCCTGATGTTGACATCATAAAACATATACTGGGCATCAAATGATTTTAATCAAGATGAGCTTTTTAATATCTAGCACAATGTCTGATAAAATATGACTGAATTCTACATAGCCAAATATGGCATTTTGTGAGCCTTACTCCTAGCATTTCATTTTCTTCTGTTTAATACAAATTTCATATTTTTGTATAAGTAGTCCACACCAGCATTTTATGTTGATTATTAGGAGTGATACACTGGGTCTGTCGACAGATATGAATAGCAGCCTTAATATTGAATGGTTGTTATACATGTGATATTCAAATACCGAAAAAAATAATCTAAGTTCGAATTGTTATTCTTAAAAATTTAGTCTATAGCTATAACACTGTTCCAAATATTATTTTTATTTTCCGACAATTCAACAATCTTCAGTTGGTTTAATCTGAAACGGCATTTTACATTTTACATTTTTTTTTTTGTTCTGTTTTTTTCTTTACAGGCGTTAAGTCAAGAAAACTGTCCCGAATCGCACAGATACTTAGTTATTCTTTTTTTTAAAACATGTCTATTCTTAACATGCAACGTTCAAAATATATTTTGTCCTATTTTACAAAATAAAGTCTGTCCTAAGTTACAGGCCGATCACTGTAGCCTAATGGTAGGGCATTCGCTTCGTGATCTGTAGGCCCGAGTTCGATTCTCGTTCGAAGACGTAAACACAGGTTGTGACTGTTCCTTCGTCAAGCACCCAACACTAGTAGCGAAAGTCACGGGTCTTTTGGAAGAGACCTTAAAAACCGAGGTTCCGTGTCATGGTAGGCGTTGACACAAAAAGGAACACTGCTCAATGGCTCTGAGTGCCGAGTATAGGTCTAAATGTGAAGAAATTCGTATATGGTGACGTCTCTTTATGAGTGAAGAGTTCTCAAATGGGACGTAAAACAACATAAATCAACCAATCAGTCCTATCTAACACGTCCAAAATATTTGGCCTTCACTTTTTTGTCGATTACTCTGTTTGAATCACACATGTCAGTTAAATATAAGATGGTTGCATGAAATTTGTAAAGAGATCTAGACCTTATATATACTGCTGATTCTTCTAAGGAAACAAGGATACTTAACATTATGAAATTGTTTATTTGTTTGCTTTACGTCACTTAGAGAATGTTTTAGTCAATTGGACGACACTTATAGCTCGTGGAAGATTGCAAAATAAACCTGTACTGGAATATAGGTATCAAAGTGAATAATAAGCATAAAAACTGGTTATCAAATTAATTATGAAATTGAGTATTTCTGTAAGAGTCATTCATTGACTTTTTTGTCCCCCGCTTTCAATAAAAGTGAGGGATATTAATTTGGGTCGGTCTGTCCGTCCGTCCGTCTGTCTGTATTTCTGTCTGTCTGTAACACTTTCGTTTCCACGCGATATCTCGAGAACCCTTTGAGCTTTCGCAATGAAATTTTGCAAAGCAACTCCCTATGGCCTAAAAAGAACCTTATTCATTTTGAGGTCAAAAGGTCAAAGGTCAAGGTCATAAATTTATAAATTCTGTCTGTTTTAACACTTTCGTTTCCGCGCGATATCTTGCGAATTCTTTGAGCTTTGGCAATGAAATTTTACATTAGAACTCCATGTAACCTAAGGAAGACCCCTATTGATTTTGAGGTCAAAAGGTCAAAGTTCAAGGTCGTAAATTCATAAATTCCGTCTGTGTGTAACACTTTCGTTTCCGGGTATATCTCAAGAAGCTTTTAAATTTTGCAATGAAATTTTATACCATAACTCCCTATGGCCTCTCTTGCCCCTCTCAAAGTGTCCCAATTTTTAATTTATTTATTGTATTAAAAGTCGCTTGGCACTATTTTTAGCACAGGGGCGTGTCGAGAGTTATTACCTATAATACAGGTTGTCGGCGGACTTTATATTCTAATTACATCTATTAGAACTGTTTAGTAAACTTTAAAGCTAAATTAGACAACATTTATTGTGTAAAATTTTGACAATATCAAACGTGAATATAAAAATTATATGTGGCTTAATGTTTGTATTTAATTTGTTATATAATCTAGTGCCTCCGTGGTCTAGTGGTATGTTGCTCACTTAGCAAGCGAGAGGCTTTTTTTATTTATTTATTTTTTTGGATTTACTAAATGATACTATAAAACATGTGAAATGAAAAAAAAGTTACAATGTATGGCGTGTACAAACTCATAAAATCATTATTACAGTGTGATCAATATTCTGTATATAGTATATTAAAAAGAATCTTCTATACATATATTAAAGAATAAGCAATCAAATCTTTATATCCATATTGGCGTTTTTTTTAATTTGTTTCAATATACATGTAACTATACATTTAATAATTCTTCAAATACAGAGGGCAGTGTGGTGACACCCCCCCCCCCCCCCACCGAACTGCGCATTCTCTTCTTTTTGCCCTAAGCGGGGGACACTAATATCTTACTTCGGCATAGAACGGATTCTTATTCTTATTTGCAAAACATGTTAGTAACACCTAAACTCTAACAATTTTATCATCCACAACCACATGAATGTCCTTTTTACTATACTAATACTTATGGCAGACTAATTTGCTGTAACCAAGCAGTCCATAAATCGTTTTAAAAAGTTCAATTAAATACTTTTTCCCTGATGTAAATATTGCAATTTGATGACGGCAATCATAGAGTTCCCAAGTTATTGAGGAACTATATTTTTTTAGCGATTTCAGGTCTAATATACTTTAAATGGTGGCATCTGCATTTGAAACCATTTGAGATATTTTAAGAGAAAGGACTTTTAAAAACCCTTCTACAATCAAAGGATCTTTAATGAATGAAATAATAAGAAACATGAATCTGTCACATGTTCATTAACGAGATTAGCTTAAAAGCATCGAAGTTATTTATTTGTTTTTTTTCACATTGATTAGCGATACTGTATCTCAACTGTTACTAAAAATCTTCTTCTTTTTTAAACATATAACTGGCTTGATATTTTGGCTTTATCTACTGTATTTTTTTCAGCTTAGGGGCCAGCCATTTAAAGACAAACTACTAATGAGATAGTTTTCCTCCTAAATCAAAATACACTAAATGTAGTATTTAATTTTTCTTCTTGTTCAAATAAAAGGTTAAAAATTTTGAACTAATTATAGATGAGTAATGCAAAGTACAAATTCAATAATCGTATTTTATATCAACGGGATATCCCTCTAGCACCACAGTAGAACTTTTTAGTAAGGGGTGTATAGAAATCTACGGTCTATTATTAAATGTCTTTGGGTTAAGTTCACATATATTTGTAAATATCAAACCTTATGCACGAATAATCCCTATTTTTATGAATAATTGAACCCACGTACATTATTTTGCATGTATATGTATATGTCATAGTGTTCTTATGTATATCATTTATTTTTGTCGCACGTGTTACTTAAACGAACATTAATGACACTCTCCCTTTATTTTAAAATCCCATAAGCTCTCCAATGCTTGATCGGCAGGCTACTATTTATTACTTTACGTCTGAAAGGTGGGTGACACATATCAGGTTGTTTTATTAGCTCTTGATTTATGGTTAAAGGTCAGTCTAAAATTATTATTAATGCACTATTTCCAAACTGAACATAGATAAGAATATAAAGAGTTATATATATCGATATTTTTTAAAAAAGTTATTGATTCAACATTCCCCGAGATCGCCTGCGTCCGTCTTTAGTGAAATTATTAAGGAAATTTTAGTAATATATAAATGAGTGCTTCAATTTAATTCATTTTTTTTTATCAATGTTAACTTTTCTAGGTTCAGGATGGGAATTAAGGATATCTTATATAATAAAAAGGTAACGATCTAACTATCAAATATTATGCAGCAATTCATCTGTTTTTTCCGAGGTTTTGGATTCTTAAAATTATACATTCATTTGATGTTAAATTTTAGAAAAAAAAAAAAAACCGACATGCTTATTTGTGCTACTTTTTCCCTAAACTCGAATAAGCTGATTTAATTGAAGTTCTACAGAAAAGAGACAAAACTTTTCTTTACTAAACAAATTAAAAATATTACCTCCCTTTAATGTTTTACATATCTTTATTACTCTTTTCCTAGAAAGCAGCGTTGTACAGTATTCCAATTCGAAGATTTTCACCTTCAAAAAATGTCAAGGTAATGCATCTTAACTTGAATTAAGTTGTGTTCTGGATAAAGGCACTGTGATTTTGGCATAGATGGTTAATCTTTTGTCATTGATTACTCGTATTTCTATTAGTTAGTATACTAGTATATAAAAAAAATCAATATTTTTTGTTCTTTTTTCAAGTACAAAATACGGGCCGAGAAAGTCATAATTCCTGATATTGAAGAATCAAAACCCAAACGATGGCAATACGGTCTTCTAATATTGCTGTTACTTTTGATATTTGTCACTGTGTTGAGCATTTTAATGATTCTCAAGAAATCTGAAGGTATTTAGATATTATTTTTTTACTGAGCTACTTGTATGTACTGCGGTACCAATACATGTATTAATATGAAAAAAAAGATATCAGAGACACAAGCTTTGTGGATTTCAGAATGAAACAAGGTAATTAATTTGTTATTAAGATATGCGTACATTTTTAATGCTTTTATAATTGCTCATCTTTCTTCAGAAAGTTCTTATATTTTCTTTTTTAAGCACGTAATGATTCGAAAATGAGTGCCACAACTGCCGTAGTTACCATAAAAACTGAAACATCACCTGCTCCAATTTTTGCCAAAAATACAACAATCGGTCAGTGTCTGTTCGTAGAGCTGCATGTATCATTTTTTTATATATAAAATCACACATGACACGTACATGTATTTACAAAATAACATTTGTCATCAAATATGAAATTAACCACCACCAAACTTACCCAAAGTTGTTTAAATGATATCAAATTTCTTGGTTACTTTTCTATAAGTTTCTTTTCTTGTTATGTAAATGAACCTCCATGGAGAAAAGCGAAAAAAAAAACATTTTTATTTTACAATAAATATGATTTTACAAACAACACCATGAGCTATTTTGATATATAATATTGAATATAGATTAAAAAAAAGATGAATTGGACGAATTTTTTAATCTTTAACAGGGAGCCGTGGAAAATCATTCCTGGTGTTATTCATGAAAAACATCATGCCTACTACAAAGTCAGTCTATGTTACATCAGATAATGGCACAGATTTGAATATAACAACTTCACCAAATCTTAATCCATTACTGAAATCCCAAATAGACAGGCAATTTATTCATGTTTTATCATATCAGCATGTCATATTACCGAGTTCAATGGAACTAGAAAGTTTCAGAAAAGAGAAAAAAGCAATTCTTTTTGAAACTTCTAATGATGTTTTTGTAATAAGTCACGATAACGGAAGTTATTCAACTGGAAGTACTACGCATATCCCTTTACATCAGCTGTCTACTGAGTATATAGTAATTTCAACCCCGCCCTCCAACAGCTGGAATAGCCAATTGGCAGTAGCCTCCGTTTCTGACAACACAACTATATCAATAACATTTAAAATGGAAACCAACAGTCCTCTGAACATTGGGGGCCAAATTTACAGAAGCGGGGATACATTTAATCTCACACTTGATATCTTTGAAACGTACCAGATCGCCCACAGTACAGATCTGACTGGAACAGTGATTAAATCGTCAGATCCCATAGCAACCTTCTCCGGTAACGATTGCAACACATTGGAGAATTTCGGTGCCTGTGATCATCTTATTGAGCAATTACCGCCAATCGAGAGCGTTGATAACACTTATATTGTTCCACCTTATTCTGATGATCGAAACACAAAGATCCGAATAACAGCCATGAAGAACACCAATGTTACTTATTCCATCGGTGGTGTAAGCCAAACACTGTCATTAGATGTTACCAGCACTTTTGATACACATATATCAAGCACCCAATCGTGTTTCATTCTTTCAGAAAATTCTATCTTAGTTACAAGCTTTGGACTGAATTCTAAGAGTTCTAACATGGGAGATCCCTCAATGACTATAGTACCTGGGATACACCAGTACCTTGACTACTATAAAATCGTCGTCCCAACGGGATATGTTAACAATTTTGTCTCTATTATGATTGATGCTTCCTTTCGAGGATCTGTTCAGATAAACGGTTTACCAATACAAGAAAGTGCTATAATATTTGAAGAGACAATTTCAACAGGAAATGATACATTCAATGTCAGGTCTATTACAGTAACCGAGGGTGAAGTTACGGTGTCCACCGTTAACGGAAGAGGCTTTGGTCTGATGTTTTCCGGAACAAAAGATTATGAGGCCTATGGATTTTCGGGAAACTCGTTACTTCTGCATCGTAATAGATTTGAATGAAATAATTACAACAAAGAGGAAAGTTAAAACATTTTTTTCTCAACTTTGTGCTAAAGTTAGAAAATGTGTAACATTACAAGATTTTTTCATCTTTTCTACAGGTTTCATTTAAATATTGAATCAAATTCAATATTGAAGTGTTCATATATTATTCACTAAAACTGAATTTAAATTTTAAGTTGTAAATGTAATTCTTAACCCTTATACCTTACTGAGAGGTCAATAGGACTTTTCAATCACAAGAGTATTTTGATATATTCTAAAGCCTTGGTCTATTTTTGATAGAGAATGGGACTACTCCCTTAGTTGTGCAGACCGTTTGCCTGCTTTAAGTAAAATGATTCCTGCAATGAATTTCGATGAATGGTTTATTTCAAATTTTGTAAGCTGCCCTGCGCTTCATGGGTTATATACAATACATCATCATTTATTCGTTTTAGCAGGGCTGAAAGGTGGGTGATACATAACAGATGTTTCATGAGCTCTTGATTTATAGAGAAAGACCAGCCTAAAAGTGTTTTAAATGCATAACTGCAATCTTGGTTATTATGACGAGTTGAAAATTTGACAATTTTACCCAAAAGAAGTTTGAAGAGTGATGAATTTGACGAAGTTTATGTTTGAAAAAAAACCTTATCTCTTTTTATGCCCCCGTATTGAAGATTCGGGGGAATATAGTTTTTGCCCTGTCCGTCCGTGTTTGTCTGTCTGTCTGTCTGTCTAGCTGTTTGTCTGTTTGTCCGCAAAAACTTTAACTTTGCCCATAACTTTCGATTGGTTAGAGCTATGGCTTTCATATTTCACATGTGTATTCCTTGTGACAAGACCTTTCTTTGCGTACCACACTTTGACTTTTGACCTTGACCTTGGAGTTTGACCTACTTTTGGAAAACTTTCACCTTGGCCATAGCTTTTGAACAGTTGGAGCTAGGGCTTTCATACTTCACATATGTAATCCTTTTGACAAGGCTTTGTTTCGGATACCAACAACTTTGACCCTTAGACCTTGACCTAGGAGTTTGACCTACTTTTGGAAAAATTTGACCTTGGCCATAACTTTTGAACGGTTGGTGCTAGGGCTTTCATACTTCACATTTGTAATCCTTGTGACAAGTCCCTTCTTCGGAAACCAACAACTTTGACCCTTTGACCTTGATCTTGGAGTTTGACCTACTTTTGGAAAACTTTAACTTTTGAAATAACTTTTGAACAATTGGTGCTATAGCTTCCATACTTCATATATGTAATCCTTAAGGCAAGACCTTTCTTTAGATACCAACAACTTTGACCTTTTGACCTTGACCTCGGAGTTTGACCTACTTTTGGAAAACTTTACCCTTAGCCATAACTTTTGAACGGTTTGTGGTTGGGCTTTCATACTTCATATATGTACATGTAAACCTTGTGACAAGACCTTTCTTTGGATACCAACAATTGTAATTCATTGACCTTGACCTTGGAGTTTGACCTACTTTTGAAAAACTTTAACCTTGGTCATAATTTTTGAACGATTGGTGCATCGATTTTCATATTTCACTTGTGTTTTTCTTCGGAGAAGGCCTTTCCTTGGGGTACCATTAATTTTGACCATTTGACCTTGACCTTGATGTTTGACATACTTTTGAAAAAACTTTAACCTTTTCCATATATATTCAATGTTTGCTGCTAGGGCTTTCATATTTCACAGGTATATACCTTGAGACAAAACCTTACTTTGGGTACCAACATATTTGATTTGCATTTGAGAAGTTTTAGCCTTTGCTATAATTTGCCATACGGGGACATCAGTGTTTCACAAACACATCTTGTTGTTCACTGAGATTATTGCCATTGAAAAAAAAAAAATCGCTCTTTGATTGTACATACTAGTACATGAAAACAAGTGGCCTTTGGCTATTTTGTACTCAACTGAATAATGTAGAGGGTGAACACATAGCTAATTATCCATTGTATATAATATATAACGCACACGGCATCTGGAACTTCTCTTCTTAAAATGTTATGTTTCTTGAAAACGGTGGTTGTAAAAATCCCGGTGAAACCAAGCTTGTTCGACCAAAAGTTGGCAAACACACTTGAAAAAGAGCTTACTGAAAAGCTAAATGATATTGTAGATAAAGAAATATTGAGTTGTAGTTCATCAAGTGTCAGTAGCAGAGGAAGAAAACGTGATGAATATTAACGCTTCTCTCCAGAAACTACAGCAAAAATAGCACGTTCTGCTATTCAAGACGGGGCTTTAAAAGCGGCACAATTCTATTCAAAAAATTTCAGTAAAAACTTACATGAAAATACTGTGCAAAAAGTTGAAGCAGATTATCTTTTTCAAAATAAGAGGAATGATGGTGAACCTTCTAAAGTCCTTAACCCCCCCCCCCCCCCTTACAAAAAAAAAAGCGGAAAGCCTTTGCTTCTCGGCGAACTGGATTCTGATGTTCAGGATTATATCAGAGATTTGCGTGATTCCGGGGGGAATATAACTTTAAATATCGTTCGATGTATTGGGCATGGCGTGGTGCTACATAAGGACAAATCTTCAAGAATTTTGGAAGTCCGGTACAATAAACCAAAGAATTGGTCCGTTCTATTTTGAATAGAAGAATAAATTTCACGAAGCGCTCATTAAGCTGCCTTGGGTATTAAGTACAAATCAGACGACTTTTTGCGTAAACTGAACAAAACTTTTTTGAAATTTTGAAATGGTGTTCAAATATGGCGTGTAAAACGTTGCTTTATTCGATAATCTTGTGATGTATATTCAAAATCCTGTGATGTGTGTTCAAAATCTTGTGATGTATATTCCAAATCTTGTGATGTATGTTCAAAATCTTGTGATGCGCATGCAATAATTTGTTATGTATATTCCAAATCTTGTGATGTATGTTCTATAATCTTGTGATGTATGTGCTATATCTTGTGATGTATATTCATAATCTTGTGATGTATATTCAAAATCTTGTTATGTATATTCAAAATCTTGTGATATATGTTCTATGATCTTGTGATGTATATGCAATATCTTGTGATGTATATTCAAAATCTTGTGATGTATGTTATATAATCTTGTGATGTATGTGTAATATCGTGTTATGTATATTCAAAATCTTGTGATGTATATTCAAAATCTTGTGATGTATGTTCTATAATCGTGTGTTGTATATTCGATAATCTTGTGATGTATATGCAATAAACTTGTGATGTATGTGCAATAATTGCATTTTGGGTAATATGACGCAATAGTGTTCTAGTTAAGTAAGGACAATTTTCATTGGTTGGAAATAACGAAAGTAGCGGGGTGATGCATACATAGATCAATTGGACTTTCATTTATTTCGTTTTGATCGCCGAAATATTGCCGACTCGGCGTTAAACAATAATTATCAATCAGTCTTTCGTTTTGATACAAAGAAAAGAGACATAAGATATGGATTATATATGCAAGTATATCAGTGAGGAAGATATAAATGTAATTTACATGATAAATAGAGTGAAGTCCTCAAATCATCGAAAATCTTATTTCTAAAGAAAAACAATAGTTGTTCATCAAGTTTTTTCTTCTCCTGTATAAGAGCTGATCGGTGGTCTAGTGATAATGAAAACACAAAAAAAAAGATTATCTTCTTGTCATATTAAACAGGGTGATTACTTCCAGCATAATTTTACATTTGGAATATACTCATGATAAATTTTTGAAGAGTATATAATTTTATATAGAAGTTTAAGGCTTATCTAATTACAATGTCAACTACACTCTATCTTTTGTATGTTTTTTTTTTTCAGTTCGCAGCTACTGTATACATCACTGTCATATGATTTTCTCAGTGTATTACACATGTAGTGGGATAGCTGATTAGGTTTGACATGAGATATGGTGATTGGTCACCTACAATCATGATTGCTAAAACTAATGACCAACTTGATGCAACCCAATGCTTAACCTATATGACCTAAACTTATCTCACAGATATTTTGCAAGCCTTCTAGTCATTTTTAAATATACAATGTACATACATGCTTCACATGGAGAGTTGTAACTTGTTAGAGGAAGTCAGATAAAACCCCTGTTTTTTCCCTGTCAGTTGAAAAGCAAAATATCACTGTGTAAATCTTCTGCAGAGTTGTATCAGCTACAGCCTTGATAGATGCTACTAAAAATGACACAAGACATTCCATCACATTATAGATATGCTTGCAATATGGCTTACATCTCTTACATAAATCATCATACTGTGAAGGCTTTCACTTGTGTTTAACTCCAATTGGCTTCATAACATTTTGCTCAAAGCTAATATATACTAGTTCAACATCAGATGTTTGTCATAGTCCTACAAAGTGAGGTTCAAATTCTAAAAAAAAAAAAATCAGTGCAGGAGTCCTTAATTATCTTACATGTATCTGATGAAGGATTCATCATTCACTGAATCAGGACTGTGTCTAAATATACCCGGTACCTGCTTTTGTTTTATTCAGAGGTTACTTCACTTAACTAGAGGCTGCATTGTGCTTTAAAATTGCCAGTGCACAAAATCACTGCCTCGTGCCAATGAAAGGATCAACAACTGAAATACTTCATTCTTGGTTTACTTTCACAGATATTTCAACTATGTTCATCTTGTTAACTTGCAAGTCCCTCTTTTGAAAGAAGTTGCATAATTTAACTTCAATATTATCCTTTTGTCACCTGTTCAACTATTATATACATGTACTTAAGTCTATGTTCTCCCAATGTTTCTGATGGAAGTTTTGTGTTTTGTAGATTCGTTAAGAGTGAAATTGACCATTTTATATGTTTTAAAAAATTCTTACACTCATCAGGTCGCCCGCGTGGCGCAATGCTTAGAGCATCTGCTCTAGATTTGCGTGGCACAGTGGTTAGAGCATCTGCTCTAGAGTCCCGAAGTAAGGAGTTGATCCTTATGTCGTGGGTTCAAATCCCACTGTGGGACGTGGAGACCGGTCCTTCGAATGAGACTGTACAAACCGAGGTCCCGTGTCACAGT